TATATATATTAATATAATACCTATAATTAATATATATATATATATATATATATATATATATATAACACATACTATACATACATACATAACTATATATATATATATATATATATATATATATATATACATATATGTGTCGCCAATGCGCGTTCTTGAATGAACATTGTGGAGAAGGTTGTCTTTAATAAACTGTTATAGCCTATAAGAGCTATCTCTAGTTTGTCAGGATTGGGTAATAACGGAAGAATACTGTCGGCGGTTAAGGCCCATATATACGCGTATAATTCCAAGTGTAGTTCTAGAGATACATTAATGACAACACTTTCAAACTTGCGAATATACCATTGTACTTTATTTGTAAATATCTCAATTTAGGCCACGGCCTTCGATAGACATGTGATGAAGGCTACCCATCTTATTCTTTTTGTCTTTCTGTTTCTTAACAATTTGTGACGCTCGACTCGAACCCTTCTTAACTGGTGCTGCAGATGACTCCTGATGTATACCAAATATGAACGGACGAGGGACATCTGAATGAGAACACTCTCGTAAACCAAATGTATTGCGCACTTATACTGAACGCATTATTTAAAGGGTGCTTGAGAAGTATTACAAGGCGACTGAGGTTCAGCAAATAGGACGATATAGCTCCATGAGCAACTCAAATCAGCTACATTGGATATGAGGCGTGGTGTACACGACAGGGAAAGACTAAGACCAGAAACTTGTGGCACGAAATGCTGATGTATGTGTCCCTCTGCATTCGCGATGACAGGTACCCAACTTAATGCGAGGTTGTCAATGAGAGACCAGATCACTAATAACAGAAGAGTGATGGTAACTCCCCGAAGCTGCTCGAAAGCCTTATGAAAGCTGTCCGCATATACAGACATATAATTGACAATAGAAATGGGAACTGCACATACATACACCGATATAGACACGGTACACTCGCGAATGGCACACACCTCATGGACTATCCTACTACTGGGACTAATAAGGTAATCTCTCTGAACCGGTTTTGGAACTGTGGCATGTCGTCGCCAACCTTTATCTCCGGGCCTCAGTTTCCTGAGATGGTACAGATAGGATAGGAGTCTTAAGCGGAGACAAAGGTGTACAGACAGATATATCGAGTGCAGGTCAGAAATGTAAATGTAAAAAAAAATCAGGAATCCGAGTTTGACGAATGCGGAGGTGAACCAGATAGACGAATCAAAAATGAACACGTAACAGAGCACGAGCCAACTCATGCCACTAGGTGTTGTCCATGAAGTGCTCTGCTATCAACGTTCGTATTTACTAAGTGACTAAATGCTTCGACACAATGGCAAGTGAAACTGGGTGTTCGCCAACAAAATATCTGGATGGTATTTATCTCCATATGAAATTACAACGGAGTGCGCGGCAAGCGATGCTAAGTAAATGGCGTTGGGGCTAAAAAAAAAAGCACATTAAGGCACAGACGCGTGGTGAAGCAGCATTTGCAATCCATCACAATCAACTCGATATATGCTCGAGCGACGCCAAACTTTCCTCATCTAGCATTCTTGAATCCACGATATTGTGATGGCCATATGCTAGACAGATACATGTGATTGTTACTGTTATTTGCGGTCACCGCTGCTATGCAGAGAAAGACGAGCTTTTCTGCACGAATGCTTAAGCCTGACATAGCAAGTGCCCATCAATAGGTGATCACTTCGAAGTATGTGTAGAGTATTATAAATCATCATACGAGGAGACAGTAGTACATATATCAAACATGCAATAACTATACAATTCGGTAAAATCAGGTGTAGAATATATGCTCATGTGTACAGTCATATACATTACAATCAGCGCGTCAGAGTACGCCTACGCAAATTTAACACGTGTAGCAAGGGAAAGCCTAATTCATGTCCATACATCCAGCAAGGCTTCTACACAAGCGCCCACACATGTATAAGCAAATGCCCACGCACAAATACAGAGCTATATACAAACCCAAATACACTTGCATCTACATGGTTTTCAATAGTAGAAATATCTATACAGACTCAACATTGGCGTACTATCCATCATTGGTCATATGTAACCAGACTCACAGTCACATGCGGTGCAAAGATTGACAAGTGTATAGATAACATACACACGCCCACATACTTTTCATTGTTTGACATAGCTTCGTCCAAGTCATTATTCACGACCGTGGCCACGGGTTGATTTAGTGATTTTCTGACCACAATCTTCCTGCCACTGGCGGCTGCTATACGTTTGCGTTCTTCCAACTGCGCCTTCTCTTGCAACAACATCTCTCTCCGCGTTTCTTTATTTAAGTTCCGATAGTCTGTGGAGAGCCCAGCAATCTGTGAGAAGGTAAAAAATATGTGCATGAGCGCCTACGTACAGACAGACAAGTCATACGGTAAGGACAGGTCTGTATCTTCATATACAATTGTACATCCCTCGACATGAGTGCTGGTATAGACGCCACACCACAGTTATATATACTTTATATATACTCATAAATGGGATCCCCAAAGTGGCGGTGAATTGTTAAGCGCCCAACGATATACGTTCCACAAAAAGACCTAGTTTTTTGGAATGCATTTGGCAATTCCATTATTTAAGGAAGTGCATGTATAAGGAACAAAGCTTCATGTGTATATGTTAGTATGTTCATGTAATTGTTAGCTATTATCTTTGCATCCGCCGGCGATAGAGGTTCACGGACGATTGTCAGTATTCTATCGAGAGGCCATTTGAAGTACTACACATCTCATTTCATCCATACAAAACCTCTACATCACGAAAACACTCTCAAGTCTGACAACACATGCGAACGCCCCGCACGGCACACAAACGCCAAATCAACAGCGGCGCACAGGGAAAGTGCGCACCTGTCGGGACCAGGTGTTGATGAGTTCGTTGCATAGTTGTTTGTTCTTAGCCGTTTCGTGCGGGTGTTTGGAGAGGAACATCACCGCCTTGCCGATGCCACTGGACTTGAGATTCTCTCTCTGGTTTTCCAGGTGCATGTCCTTGAGGATGGCTAATAATTCTCGACGGATCTTCTCGTGTGGCAGTCTAAAAAAATGGACACACACAAGGTCAAGGAGGTTGGCAGTAACTACTTCCATTTATAAATCAGTGTGCGAGGGTGTGGGATATTGCTTGAGGTCTTCGTGAGTGTGTATGCATACACGTGGCAGTGTTCTGGCAACCATTTCGACAAACAAGAATGTAATTGCGCATGCGATCAGCTTATCTCACGCCAGCAATCAAACCCTAAACCCTGCAGGCTAATGCCTTAACAAAGATTTTAGCATTGTTACTGAAAGGTACACCAAATAGTCCTTCGAATTACTCGCCCAATAAATTTGGAACGGGAGTACGTTCACTCAGACCTCAACGCAATGTGCACGCCGGCGCCAACGTATATATACAGCCTCGAACGCATGCACCCCCCTGCACTCTAGCACCACACCCAATCACACCTCTTACTACAACCTACACGTGCCCCCATATGTGGACACTACACACGCACACCCAATCACACCTCTTACTACAACCTACACGTGCCCCCATATGTGGACACTACACACGCACACCCAATCACACCTCTTACTACAACCTACACGTGCCCCCATATGTGGACACTACACACGCGCAGAAACATACTTTTTATTGGGGAGGGGGTCGAGCCAGGCTTTCATAGCGATGAGCACGCCGTTGTCAATGTAATTCTCCTGTCTGGACATCGCGTGGTCGTTCTTCTTGCCAGCACTTTTGATACTCAACTCCTCAATCACATCGTTCAGCTTAAGTAACTTGTTCATTGCTAACTCACCCCTTTGATGGGTGATTGTATGTATGCACGAGTACGGGCATGATATTTAGTATTGTATGTATGTTCAAGTACGGGCATGATATCTAGTATTGTATGTATGTACAAGTACGGGCATGATATTTAGTATTGTATGCATGTACATGTACGGGCATGATATTTAGTATCGATATGTGACAGAATAAATGTAAGTAGGAAGAGAAGTAAATATATATCACGGCAAATACTATTACGTGTACAAGATTCGAATGGCAATGCAACAAACATCGATGCCAGCATCGATTGCATACCTGCCGGATGTAAATATGCGAATCAAATGGGATATGCACACGGACTGTTGATGACTCATGCGACAATTAAGCGACATATATTGTATCACGGAGCAAGCAACTACTGACTATCATACATGATCCTCTACGTTTAATTCGCAGAAAATAAGGTTTCGGGATTGCAACGAAGAAATACATTCTGAATGGGGGCCCTCTGACTAAAAGCCAGTCTCTTACACACACATGTGCCGTATAGTGAATGCATACTCAGTACTTTATGTCATACTCCCGCTTGTTCTACGCAGCCATAGCTGTGTGATAAGAGAAGCCATCACTCTCACACACGAGATCTACATAAAAACCTCAATAGATGATCTGTGCCATTCAGAGCCAAATGGACACTTGGTGTAGTGTGGACACACTTATATGTCGAAAAGTATGCATCACACATATAGCACAGATCAGCTACACAACTAAGTGCACTATATGGGATGGTACTGCAAATCAGCCTATGTCGGCATTCCACGCCCCCAATTGATGGCCCCACCAGTAGGCCTCATAACACAGTTCAACGTGCAACGTTTAAACACACTGGGCACAAATAGAAACAAAGCAATAGACGTATACGAATTGGGAAAGTATACATACCTACATATACACCTAAAAAAAACACACATATACATATATACACATACACACAAAAAAATACACACATACATATATATACATATACACACGAAAAAACACACAAATACATACATATACCTACACGCACACATATGTACATACGCATATACATAAAAAAATGACATATATATATACATACACACAAAAATACACACACATACATACACTCACAAATGCACACAAAAATACACTCACATATACGTACACACACATATACATACACACATACATACACACACATATATATACATACATACACACGCATATGAATACATATAAATACACACATAAATACACACACACATATACATGCACACACAAAACACACACATATACATATATACACATACACACAAAAAATACACACATACATATATATACATATACACACGAAAAACACACAAATACATACATATACCTACACGCACACATATGTACATACGTATATACATAAAAAATGACATATATATATACATACACACAAAAATACACACACATACATACACTCACAAATGCACACAAAAATACACTCACATATACGTACACACACATATACATACACACATACACACATACACGCACATATATATACATACATACACACGCATATGAATACATATAAATACACACATAAATACACACACACATATACATGCACAGACAAAAACACACACAAATACATATAAATCACACACAAAACACACACATAAATACATATAAATACACACATTTACATACACACAAAAACACACACATAAATACATATCAATACACACATATACATACACACACGTAAACACAAACATATAAATACATTTCAATACACACATACAAATACATATCAATACGCACATATATATACATACGTATACATCGGTTCCTATATCACATTCCCAAACATGAACCCCTCACCTCACAACACACTCGCGGTCGTTCTGTGCGGCCATTGCCATGTCGTCGACCATCATGGCCACAAGAGAGTCCACCGCCTCTTCATTAACAGTCACGTGCCGCTTCTTGCTGCGCTCGTCCGCCATTACTTGGTCAAAGTGTGACAGTACCTACAAAGTGAAGTAGGGATACGCATATGTTTAATTGGGAGAGGAAAATAAAGGGGTATATGCATTACGTTAATATGTGTGCTATATGATCACCATTCAGTTAGTCCATGTTGACCCGTCGAACGGAACACCACCACATACAGTGCTATGATATCTGTGCACAAAGTATAAGTACAATAGGGATCGTAATAGGCATTTTCCAGGAGACGGTCAGTGAAGGAGAAGCAAATTACGGCATCTATGCGATGCATAAATACACAAACACGTCCCCCCCACAACACCATACACCCACAACCATATAACCCCACACCCGCCCACACACATACAACCCCCCCCCCCATCACACACCTTCTCTGGCGAAGGACTGCGTTTAGGGCCGTCATCGCCCACATGCTCTGCGTCCCTGTCCATGGTTTTGGGTTGGTTGTCCTTTCTCTTTCCCTTCTTGTCCTTCTTGAACCTCCGTTTCTTGCCGTGTGCGTCGCCGTCGTCTCTGTCGCCCTTTTTGCGTTTCTTGGGAATGTGCATGTCGTCTGAGTCGTTTGCGTCATCGCTTGCAAACAATGCATTTGACGTGTCGCGCGGACTGTCGGCCTGTAGGTATGGGTTTTGGGTTTGGTGTTTAGAGTTTCGAGATAGGGTTTGGGGTCGATAGCAAATATGCGTAAGCTACATAAACTAAGCAAGCGCATAGATTCACCAACATGCACAAACGGTTGTGTGCAGAGTCGAATCCAGAGCACTCTCTCTCTACGCACACCTGTCTGTGTGATCTCCGCCCAATCAATATCATTAGTACCCTCCTGCGGATGAAACAGGCCTACCACATTAACTCAAACCGTCACACACAAATTAAATGATAAGATGTCTCACAAGCGCGGCATCTATTTCCAAACGTGTGATTTACCTTCCAACGATCACGACCAATCCTCTCACACCGGCAGGTGCTATCTGTCAAGTACACACGGCAGCCGACAAGCAAGCACACCACATACGCATACTATTGCAAACAGACAACCACTCAGCCGACACCCACCCGATCGTTGTCGTCTGCATTCCTGGGACTGCCACTACGGCTTCTGCTTCTGCTTCTGCTTCTGCTTCGGCTACGGCGGGGGCTCGGACTACGACTAGCGCCACTGGACTTCTTCTTGGGTATCCGTATGGGAATATCATCCTCACTATCAATGACTGGTGCGGCTTGTTCGCCATCACTGGGTGCGTGTTCCGCATTACTGAGCTTGTCGGCGGGGTTGTCGTCGGCGTCACTGTCACTGATTGAGCGCCTGCGAGGCTGTGTGTCATCGTCCTGTGGAGGCGATAGGGTTTAGATGTGGGTAGGGGTTCGGTCTGACGTCTAGGGTCTAAAAGTGGGGGTATCTGCTTGATAAGGTCCATCAAAAAGCACTGCGCTAGATTGTCACATTCAACTTTTTCCCGCTTACTTGCGACAAAAATATAAATAGGACAGTTCGATGAACTGTGGTGTAGCATATATAATTTTCAACGCACACAGAAAGCAATAGTCATAGAAAGTACTGATGTCGGACATTGCGATTTTTAATTTACGCTTATATGTCGCAAAATTCCCGAATTCAAGAGCGTGGAAACTCAACAATGATTCAAACAAATTCATTCTTTCATATAACACTGATAAATTGTCTCACATACGCGTATGTGTATAAGAGTGGAAGGTGAAACAAATACCAAGATGGCAACACACACATGGCAACACACAGACACAGACACAGAACGACACATACAACGACGCATATGCACAATATATATACCAAAATGATTTAATCGAACATACATACACACACACACACACACATAT